GTTAGATATTTTGCTTAACATTAATCAGGCCTAACAATGTTTGTTCCAGTTTTATCGTCTTCCCAGACGTTAATGTTTTAGAGTTAAAGAATAGGCCTACTGGTTTGCTGGATGTTCGACAATGTAGCAAAAGGGCAAACAAACGTAAGCCGAATTTAATATAAAATTGCATAATATAAGTAAATTGAGCTTGTATTCTCAAAATATCTCCAAGTTAATTAGACGATTTGTAAGAATCAAGATGAATATTAATTGAATTTAGTTTTCGAATTCACGGAAAGAAAAGAACTACAGCATTACTTCCGTGTAAATAAGATACGCGATGAGGTTTGTGTTTAGAACCGTGATTATTTTCGAATAAACCTGGAAGAATATATATATATATATATAAAGTGATTTGTTACACTTAGTTTTTTGTTTTGTTTTTTTGTCTATATCCAATAACACACAAGGTTATAATTTCTTATATTAATCTATTAAACACTTTGACAATACCAAAATACTATTGAAATTTGGAACACGGTAACGTGAAAGGTTTTTCAACTTTCTAAAATTTAATCTTGGAATAATAAATACTGTTATAAGCTGTATTTTTAAGTTGTAATTTGGATGCTAGCTAGAGGGCGTATCAAGAAAGTTTGTGACAGTAAGCTTATGACATCACCAAAATCTAGAAACTATATAATACCTAGAACAAGGATTAGATATAAATAGAGGTAAACCAGTCAATAATTTAGAAAACATGTACAGTGAAGCAGTCAGTGTACATAAAGTATTTGGATCTGTGTTGGCGACTTAACATATTAAGCTACTTTGTACAAGTAAGTTAAATTTTACGTTACTCCTACACAAATTGTCGTAGTATTTCGTGGATTGGACTTTGAATCACCTTTTCCAAATAATTTGATGAACCCGCCAATGAAAGAATAACGTTAAAACTACTTTGACTACACGTAAATATACTAGTTCATGACTTAATATATTAACTATTAATCCCTTTCGAATTATAACAAAATTCTATGAATATGCTAAATAATTTAGCTTGTGTTTGGGTGTGTATATATTGTTCTTTAAACATATGCTGTTATTAATAAAATAAGCATTTTTACAAATAAATGTATTTGAACCGTTATACAACAGTGTAATATAAAGTTTTTTGCAACATTAAAGAAGTATACTAACTCAAAGAAACCATAGTAAGTTTACATACTTCTGAAATCACATTTTTAATACAAAAAAAATACGTCTTAAATAAATTAACGATTCAATTGCCATTTTTATTGATTTCTTTAATGACTATTTAGAAGATTCTTTGAAGATACAACAAATAGTTTATAACAACAGAAACATGTAAAGCATTGTTATTACATTTTCATCAAGGTAAAACAAGCAACTACAATGATGGGAACTTATTTTTTATCTAAAGCTGAAAAAATTTATTCTTGCTGATATGCTCATAACTCATTTCAGCCAAAGATTTATTTTATTTCATTTTCATATACATTACTGATCTGAGCAACAGAAATTGTACTTATGCAAATTTCTACATAACAGAACCAAATTCACCAGCCAACGATCTGTATTAAGTGTTTTTCACAAAATGACCTGAAATTATGTTCAAATCCCCACAGAATATAAACAAAGATTTTCACACAATATGGGGTCTGTCTTGTTTAACTGAACCAGTTAATTTGAAAATTCAAGTAACATTCAAAACATTAATTTAACTATTTTGGAAATTTCCAAATTGAAGCCCCATATGAGGGTCAACGAGGGTTTTGGAAGGTCTTAGTATACATGGATTTATGTGAAGTTTCATGTTGAGGCCTCCAAATGTGGAATAAAAACCTTTGGGGCTCAGTAGATTAAATAAACTGATTTACATAAAAACTGGCAAGGACATGTACGTGGTTGTTCAAAACTAGAACATTTTCTAAAATATAAGAATAGTTCCAATCTCCCCCACAAATATTTGGAGGTTTGGGAGATTCTCAGGATTAACTTAAATAGAATCGAAGAGAATGTGTAAATAGTCATACAAAACCAGTTGTCAAATGTTCTGTATACAGTTTTGTTTTCTGTGAATTTTTTCAATTTATTAGAACTAAATTTAATTGTTGTTAATAGATTAATTGAAATAGAAAAATAATACAAAAGGGATGAAATAGTTCTTTTGAAAAGAATGAACTAAACAAACTGATGGTTAGTTTACTCCAATCGGTGTTTTAGACACAAACCCATCTTCAAGGTAAATGTTACCAAGTAATTCCAATTTAACCTAGACCTGAAAGTTAATGGGCTGGACACTGAAAATATTCAAAGAGGTTACAAGTTTTTTTATTGAAGTTAGTTGTTGCAAATACCTTTAGGTAAGTTGTTACAACGTTTGAGGAATGTGTTGAGGAGAGAATAAGTGTTCACCATCTTTGAATCTGTTACACATTCTGTCTTCTTCTCAGAAAATTGGGAGGGTGATCTTGTTTACAAGTTCATTTTTTTCAGCAAACACTAATATGTTAAAACAACTATTACCAATGATTTTGTGTGGTTGTAAGATAGGTATTTACACATGACTGCTTTTGTTATATGACTATTTGTTACATATGTATAACATGAAAAAAAACATTTATGAACAATAACATAACATTCAACTTTTTAGTACTTTTCTTTTTCACAACTATGACTGCTCATTGCAAAGTCAAAAAAGAAGTTGAATAAGCTAACTTATCATTCCAGATTGATATTAAGACTTTTCCAATCAAGATATACAAATAACTAATAAAGCAATTTCTTAAATATTAAATGAGATAGGATATTCATAGGATCCTCTATATATGGTAAAGTTCTGTATTTCATACACCCTGAACATTTACAAAAACTAGCTTACTGAATTTATTCAAGCAACCATTTTTAACAATAATAATAATATTTCTTATACCAAGTAATATTAAAGCACTTTTCAAACCTTCTTAGCCTAAAAACTAAATTACCTCAAAGAAAAAGTCTTGTGTGCATTTCTCAGAACTCCTTATTGATGCAATCATCAAATCAATTCAATATTTTTTTGAAAAGACACTGAGAAATCAAGAAGTTAAAATGGCAATAGTCACCATCTCTACATTCCAGCTGTTGTGACTTCCTCCCAAGCAGAGAGAAGAGATGAAGAAGATGTTAGTGGAAGAGGCAATTCTCCAAGAAGAGGAGCATCCTATTGGAATGGTATTTAATGCCAAGATCATTAGTGGTTCAGAAAAACAGGAAGATAATATCTTCACCTTTACCCAAACTAAAATCAACTACAGTGCAAAAGAGGAAGTGACATAGTACCTAGTTGACACAGATAAGAGTCTTGCTTCTCTGAAAAAGAACCCAGCAGTGAAACAACTATTCATCATCATACTTTGTCATCAAGTGCTCCTGTAGAATGTCTGTTTGGTCATGGTGGATACCTTCTAACACCACTTTGCCATAGAGTGCTCTTGTAAAACACCTAGTTAGCCATGGTGGACACCTTCTACCACCACTTTGCCATTGAGTGCTCCTGTAAAATACCTAGTTAGCCATGGTGGACAGATTCTAACACCACAACAATGTATCATATGAGAGGGTAGCACTTTGAGCAAGTCCTTCTATTGAACTACAATTTTGATGTGTGCCCTTTGCTATTAAAGTGTTGATTGATTTGTAAACTAAAATGAGATAAATGTGTAGCTGTTATATGTAAAACAGTGCAAGTTTGTGTGTAATATTTAGTTACGGTATAATTGACATATAAGCTAATGTCGGGAAGAATATTTATCAGTTTCACTCCAAAACCCGAGAGGATGCTACCAGAGTCTGCCCAAAAATCCCAATTTACCCATTGGACGGTGACAGCATCTGATAACATTTGTCTCTAGCTGAAAACTAACCCAAACCACGTCATTATCCACCTTTTATAAATAGATCGGAAGTTCCATGAAGCATTGTCGTTTGTTTTGAAACAAATTTCAGATCTACAAGTTGTGTTTGAGACAGATTTTTTTTTCAGTCTAACAGTTTGTTTACACCAATTGTAAAACAAAGATGGCAATTGGAACGAGGCCACCAACACATTTTACTGCTGAGCAAGCAAAGAGTCTGTTCAATCAGTTAGATGAAGGAGAGAATGATGACAATGGTGGTTCTGATCTCGAATTTGACTTTGGAAGAGAGACTAGTGATGAAAGTGACTCAGGACAGTCATCGAGACCCAGTTCCAGTAATTTTCAATCAGCTGATCAGAGGGGGGGGGTACTGCCCCAAACAGGACCTAGTGGTACAAAGAGACCCCAAAAGCGAGCTCCAGCTGGACCTGATCCACCTCCTAGATCTACATCCACCTAGAGCCAGAGATAATGTTTGAGCTGAGGTAGATCTGCAAGATAGGTCAGCCACAAGTAATGACTTAAGAGTTTTTACCAAAAAACAGGCATGATCCTGGTGTACACGCTGACATCAATGACAACTCAATGCCCTTCGACTGTTTCAGAGCTCTGTTTACAGAAGATGCAAGTAACACTCTCATCACTTCTATGAACAAGTATTCCAAAGCACAGATTGCGAAGAAACCGCATTATCATAGACAGTCGAGGTATTTGAAATGGACTACAATTACCCACTATGAGCTACTCAAGTTTCTTGAGATGACAACATCAATGGGCATCGACAAACAACCTAGCATTCAAGACTACTTCGCCATTCACCAGTCTCTCTACATATCCTCATCCTTCTTTCACCAAACATTCAACAGGGAGAGGTTTGAGGCTATTTACTCAAGAATGCTTCATGTGAGTACCTCTGATTCCAAATGAAAAATTTAAGAAAATTGAAATTTTATAAAGTATGGTGATAATTTTGAAGACATCATGAAAATAATTCCAGCAAAATGTGCAAAAAATTATGGGTTTTAAAGAGTTAATTTAGTTTTCTGTAAAAATAACTCAGGTTATCTTTTGTAAAATGTTTTGTATTGTGTGGTTCTGAACTATTTAAGAAAAAAAAAAGAACATATTTTCAGGAAGAATTGTTTAATTTAATATCTATTTTAATTTAATTCAGCTGAAAAAACTTATTATACATCTTTGTAATGTACGGTTTTGACCTACAGAAAGAGACAAATGTTTCATTTAGTTCTCTGTAAATTTAATTCAGAGGAACGTCCCTAACTGATTTTTTTGTAATGTATGTAGTTCTGACTTATTTTGAAAGGACAACCTAATTTCAGGTAGAAACAGGGCTTTAATTTAGTTCCCTGTGAATGTTTGCCAGCTAAACTTAAAATGTTTGAGAATCAAAATGCATTTTAACTTGTTTAAAAATACACACTATCAGGTTTGGCTTCTTTGAATGCAGCAGAAGCACGTGTAAAATAAAAACTGATATGTATCTTAATTAGCATATAACTATGTACTACAAATAAACATTAATCAGTCTTCAGTATTGGGATTTGTATAACATAAAAACAGAAGATACTTACATATTGTCTTATTCCTTGAACTCAACTGCCACTGTTTTCTAATTGAAAAGAAATGTGTTCCAAAAGTAACCTGATTATGTTACTGACTTGGAGTAACGTATCGAATTACGTTACAGATTATTTACAAAACTGAGTAATCAGTATTGTAAAACAGAATACTCTTTAAAAGTAACCCTCCCAACACTGTCAGTTGTTCTCACGAGACTTAGATAGTTGGAATAATTGAAAAATTGTAATAATTGGACACATAAATTTCAAATAGTATTCTCGCGAGTCATAACACTAATCAATTAAGCATAACAATCTTGAATATATCAGAAATAATAATAGCAATATTTTAATTACTTGGAATTATCCGAAACACCGATTTAAATTAGTTTATTATTGTCATGACATTAAATGATTATTTTCAGGGGCACTAATCAATGTAATTGATGTTCGTAGACAATCAAGTTAATCACTAAGCTTAACATTATGTATTTTTCATCCATATCAATTAATACAAACCTAGCTTCATGAACCTTTTGTTTGAATATACATGGTAATAAATATTTGTCTTTGTAAACTTTTTACTTACTTTTAATTGAATAATACAAATAGTCATCTCTCTACATTAAATATCTCTAGTCCTATCTATCTGTAGATAAACGAGTATTGTAAACCTTTGAATTAAAGGTCACGAAAAATGATTATATATACAAAAAATAAAGGCAACAATATACATTACAGCAACAACTTCAATTTTCCAAAGCTAACGGATACTGTAGCTAAAACTCATAATGCAGTCAAGCGTATGATTGTCAGATCTGTATCTTGAACATTTTTACATTACTTGAAAAAATTTACTGTTAGGCAATTTTAATAACCATTATCCAAGTATTTAGGTAGCTAATAACTACACTAAATCATTTAAGTAATCTGACTGGGATTTATCACAAAGGTAAAACTTTATTAACGGTGGTTTTAAGCCATGCTCAGTGAAACAAATAGTTGGATAGCATTGTGGAGGATAACAATGAAGCATTCTGAGTTGAATATCATATAATGTTTAATTTTCTATGATGTTATGGTAATTATACTTACAATCAACATTCAAAAGGTTCTATTTGTTACAAAACATTAGTATGGAAAAGCTTATGTAATACACTTAAAACTTCAACATTTACAACAGCAATAAACTTCCATTAAAAATGCTAATTACACATAAAATTATACATATATATGGCTATCCAGCTGAATTGATATTAGCAATAATTTTTTTTCTTATTCAACCTAATATATTACAGAAGCTCGCACTGAGTCTGCAATAAATGAATGCTTGGATATACAAGTGTTTCCAAATTCCTTCCTTTGTCCAGATGACCAAGTTCAGGAACCAACAGACATAATGTTGTGAAACACAATGTACACAGTTGTGGTGTGTTCTAATGACATCATAGGGGGTATAAAAGTCATAATCCAAAATAATATCCAAGTGTTTGTAAACATATGGAAATTGTCTTCTTCAAAGTCAAATTGGTCTACACACCAAGTTTCACAACACTGTATCTTTTCGTTTCCTGAATGCAGTCATCGGGAATAGGGAAAGTGACTTTTGAAACACCCAGTACATAAGCCGAACACTTTGCAATGAGAAACTAATCTTGTTTTTTTTTAAATAATGATGGTCATGGTTCTACAATAACTCTGAGTGACACGCAAAAGAAAAACTGAAACAAGAGTAACAAGTGTAAGCTACTTTTATAGTAACTTACGATCAGCTGATATTCAAAGAATGAATGAAAACTAAATCATCTTTAAGGCTATAGTAGTAAACACCTCATATATATATACACAAGCTTTACTTTATTCCTTTATATATTCTTTTTCTCTTACGTAGATCCATACATATAATTATATATTCATAGAACAATATAAGAAAACCCACTTCTGATCAGTTACCAGTAATCCTCCCATTTTTCTGATAACTTTCTAATTTATACACTTGTTTACTTTAATGAATATTCTTCTACGTCAATACTCTTACATCTTTTAATTCGTACAGTAACTTCTACCTGCCCACAGGCCATTTATTTTGATGTACTAGTAAGTAACCAACACGCTCAAATGTCTTATTACTTACAAACAAACTCACTTTGTTTTACAACACACCTTACACTTTTCAACCTGTGAAAACTCACTATTAACCTGCTAGTGCTCTTAACTTATTCACACACAGAAATATATACACGTGTGCATGTTCTATGTATTTATACCTACATCAACAATTTAAGAATTTTATAATTATATATCGGCGTTAATAATAGTTGCCACACACGTATTAGTCATATAATTTAGAATTACTTCAGATTTGCTGGATTTGAAATTCAAATTACATGGTTATTTCTGGTACAAGTAGATGAGAGTGGACAGTAATTACAGGATTTTACCACTATGCAACTTTTTTTTTTTTTAAAAGAGCAGAAATGGATGCAAATAGGCTTAAGATCTCTAGAATATCCAAAAGAATTTGAATCAAATACCTACATTTCATTGTTAGAAGCCCTATTATGATGATGCCAGCCAAACTTTACTGTATAATTTAAATATTTGTTTTAAACTATACGAGTAATTAGACGTATGTTAGTACTACCGTAATCCTTAAAATTGTATATAGCCCAAACACACTGACTTGGCAAGGTTGGTCCCTTGTTTGATTAATAAAAAAATTGTTTTATTTAAAACAGAATTTATGTTTCTTAGGCTTAAATTAGAAACAGTTCCAATTTCAAGCAATTTAAAAAATAAAGCTTTGTTTTAAAGTTTAAAAATATGTAAAACGTACTAAAGGAGTTAAAAGTTTGTATTTATATTTTCCAAGAAATTGTAAAACTGTGTCAGAATATAAAGTTAAAAACAAAACTATTTGACAATATATGTAACCACAAATTAGTTATAGTTTAGAAAAAATAACCGGGTCTTGCAGATTCAACGATCTCGTTTTACTGCAAGTGCACGGCACCAATAACTTCTTTACACAAGTCACTCAAATTAAACATTTCTTAGCATACACATACATATTTTATTCATCCATTTTCCTGTGAATAAATTAAAATCAGTAAATGGCAAAAAATGATGCCTCCAGCTACTTGTTTTAAAAGTTTGGCAATAAACAAATACTAGCAGGCAACAAAATAACAAGTGATGAGGAAACATTCATTGTTACCACCATTTCACTACATTGTTACAGTCTTACAGATTTCTTTCCATAAAAACAAGCTACAAGAAACACAATACTTTTAAAGTATTTCTGCGTCTTCAGTAAGAAAATGAAACACTGGAAAAAAAAAGGATGTTCAAGAGAATACATTATACTGCTAAATATCTAAAAGCTGTGGGAAATGGACCAATAAATAACACATGCTTTTGAAACTTTACTTTGATTGTTTGTAACTGGCAACCTCTTTCACTAATTATTCGATTAACATTAATGACTAACAGTGAAGAGAGAGAAAAATCCTTATTCAATATTTCTCTAAATTATTTTGAAATTTATTTCTCCACGTTAATGTGCAGATTTCTCGTAAAACTGTAATTTACTAACGCACGACAACATTACTTGCATATCACAAAGCAAGCTTACAGTTACTGCTTTTTAATAAAACAGCATCACAAAAGTACCGTAGTATGATACCATTAGTACCATCCAGTACAGCATACACCATTACTACTAAATTTTACATCAGACCACCATTATCATCATCTTGTATGAAAAGGGGTGCCATTAAGGCCACTTCAGGTAAAATGGTAGTACCACCACTAGTATGATGCCCTATTTATCACCTTATATATATATATATACCCTAAGAGGTAGTTTTATTACCACTTTAAGGAATACAATATTATAACATCATCTAGTATATTTTTTTAGCAACTGCCTCAGTTCATAAGGTGTTATATAATATTCTCAAAAATGGCAGACCATATATAAAAAACCCTTCTGATAAATAAAAACATTACAATAAAGATCAATTATTCATTACAAGCTCTGTTGCAATGCCCACAAAGTAAATAAATCATTAGAGAAAATAGGAAAAAAAAAATAAAAGAAATTGAAGACGGTATGTCATAACCATAAGTGCGAGCATTAATGGCATACAGTTAATCATCTCGTATAACAATGAAAGGCTTTCGGTTTTGAAAGGTGGAAGAAATGGTTGTTATAAACTCAGGTAAAAAAAGGACAACAGCACCAATATTTTCTTACAAGTTATACAAAGATACATGAAAAGCTGATTGAAAGTAGTAACAAACTCACTCATATACTTAGGAATTATTTCTATATCTCTTCATAACTTAAAAAGACAAACATATGTAAACGTAACACTGTCGTTAATCAGTCTGTAAAAAGCCAATATGAATGAAGTTGTTCAATTTTTACAGATAAACGTACAGTTCCCATGTATGTCTGTGTTCAAAATTAAAAAAAAAAAAAACTTAAGTCACTTTATCACTTTAAATACACACACACACAAAAAATAAACATTTATAGATTGTAAAATTACTCACTATACAAGTATACAGAGAATCCATTTACTCTTAAGTCCATGTCAAACAGTAAAACATTACTTTTCTATCCTTATGGCAGCTTCAATTATTGTGAATTGTATCTAAAGTAAAAAGTACCAAATACCAGTAACTGCTTTTCACATATATATATATAACATAGTTTTGTAAAGCAATTATTCACTAAATAAAGAGAAAAAAACAATAGCACATGTACATTGATAAAAACCTCAAACACACAGAAATTCTTCTTTTTTTTCCCTCTAACTCATGCTTTAAACTGAGCAATGCACAATAACTTTATCTGATTTCATCTCTATAAATTCTGGGACAGTCCCTATGCCAGATTTTGACATATAGACTTAATTGCCTATTTTGGCACTGACCAAATGAAGTTTCTATTTCGTATTAGATTAATATCCATAATGGGTTATATTTAAAAACAACATTTTTCACTTGATACATTAAATAAATAACTATATATTTACTGAGTAATATTCTTCTCTACATAGTTGTATGTATGTATACACACACACATAATTCATAAAACACTAGGATTGTTTTTTAAGTGAATACTCTTAAACTTACAAGTGGAAAATTAAAATTTATTCAGTCACATCGTACAGGAAAAGTGTGCCTAAATATTTTTCACATGCTTTGCATTTGGAAAGGCCTCAACTCTAATCGGACAATGTGATTACGTACTAAAGGCACATACAACTACAATTTGAAGCAGGCCAAAATGACATTAAGCCAAATAATCCACCATGCCTTTAATCACGAATGCTGCAATTCTATCACGGCAATACATTTTCCACAAACGTGTAAGCTGTGATATGGAACTAATTATGCATGTTCTGTTCAGTCAATAAGCTTGTATTGCCAGAATTTGTTTTTGGCCATAAACTTAAACTAGGAGCATGAAAATTAACTCTTCAAATGTTCAAAGGGATGATGCCTGTACAAAATAAGTTAATGAGGAAAACAGTATGCTTTACTTATATTCAACTCAATATGAGTTGGTTCCTTTTTTGAAATTTTACTGAAATATTTTCATTTCTGTGAAAGCATTTCTATCACATAACCTTGTAGATTATGAATTCTGGAAGATTCTGTTTAAATATCAATAGTAGTATTTTGTCAAATGAACCATTAATAAAGCTACATTGCACAGTCAGGTTTCATGCATAATACCAGAGACAATGCTGAAAATATATATATATATTAATTTTGATGTTTACGGTTTCCTCACATCGAGCAATTTACATATACTTCCTTTAGTAGATCGTGGTACTTAAAAATTACACAACAGGTGTGGATTAACAAAGACATCAAATCATGTGTGTTCAACTTTCTCTCTGTAGACATGGTGAAGGTGTGTTTATGTGTACAAGTATATATAATCTATTTATCAATTTGCTGAAAGGTTATCTAAAAAAACTATCACTTTTCCTTCTATAACTCAACACTTTAGTCTTGACAAATATTTACACAGATCATTAATAACAGATCATAATAAAACAACTCATTAAACCACTATATTTTAACTATCCAGCACAGAAAACTCCTTGTCATGAAATGCTTATCACTAGTGAAATCTTAGACAACTTTAGGTGGCCCACATTCTTTTAAAACACGTGCTACATTAGTTTAAGTTTTCCTGAACTTACAAAGTGCTTTAATTTCTTTAATCATTGTTCGGCTACAAAATATAATGAAAGACATAGTGCTAGCAACTACTCGTACCCTTAATTTAAATTTTGCATTCATATAGATGCTTTATAATGACCTTACATAGACAAACACAATTACAAAACAAAAACTGACAAGCTAAAGCAAAGCACAAATGTATTCAGGGAACAAATTACAAATATAAACAAAAAAAAAAAGAAAAATGACTTCAGAGTTCTTGCAAACTTGAGTGAGAAGCAGTGAAATTATTGCACAGCAAGAGTTCATATCAAACTCAATTCAAAGGAAGGGTTCTGCCATTTAAAGAAGGCACAGTCTTCTTTCAGCAAACTTTTTATTTGTCCATACTTATACCTGTTAGGATTAAAGGTGTTATATATCAAATACTTGAAACATAAATACCAGTTACAAAAATGTGTTTTACAGTAATTAGATGTTACCAGCAACTACCTCTATTTCATATTTAACAGCCATCACCTAATACCATGCACTATTACCATATCTTCAGACAGAGTACATGTATAGGACATCTGGAAACCATGAGAACAGCACTGTGAAAATATTGGTTTTGGCCATAAAGTAAAACAAGTGTAAAATTAACCTGGCTTCGGATTCACAAAATTTAATACAGCTGTATACTAATGAATTCAAAATACTTGTCTATAATGGTCAGATTCTGGTCAACATATATAACAACAATATTAAATCTTAAAAAAAAAACTAATATCTATAACTTAAATATCAGTACTGAAAACTACATTAAAGAAAAATGTTTGTCAAAGTATTGGATTTGGTCAGAAATAACAATATCTTGGTTATTTTAACTTAAGTCTAGTTGAACCTATATTTGGTTATCAAAAAAAATTAGTCATAAAAAAATATGACAAATATAGGCACTACATATCAGAAAACATTATGGATCCAATTTTCAAGATTGGTGAAGCACAAATTTAAAATTGTGTACCTTTTTGCCAAAAAACCAGCTATTTCCAGGTTGAGTTTAGAAATGAATAAGATTACTGATTTTAATAATTTTTAAAAAGACCACGTATAAAATACTTCGAATAAGTGCACTGAGTGGAAATCAACTTTCTGTAGAAAGTACACTAAGCCAATTTTGCTTAAGTTTCAGCTCAAGTACTAGAAATCTTGATATGGCATCAACGTCTGCCATTGGGGAAACAGAAAATACCATTAACAGAGGATAACAGCTGGAGAGCTAGCATACGGGCAGGCCTCAAACAAACCCTCAGTCAGAAAATTTGAAGTCAAAATAGTAAAAGATCATAAATTAGGATTACCTTAATCCTAATCCAAACGG